ACATTCTCTCTCTCTCTCTCTCTCTCTCTCTCTCTCTATGCTTAAATTATTCTTCAGAAATGTTTTTTTTTCTCTTTGAACATTCGCTTCATTTCATTTTACTTCTAAATTGAAGAGAAGTAGACAGGTAATAAATCGTAAGATAAAGTAGTGGAATAACTTGTATGAAGAATAAACAAACTTTGCAATTAATAAGATGACAAAGTTGACGGAGTCAAGGACAGGCTTTACTGATAGTAATTGATAATCTTTTGTTGATAAATTGGACAAAGATTATGTCATCTAACTTCGATATCACTTAAAAGAAATACAAGTTAATATATCGTAAAAAACTTACTTCATGTTTACCACTGCTAGATAACTCGTCTATTTTCTAAATTTTTGCAATAATCGAGAGGCCGAGAATTGACCCTTTGCGTGATCGGCGATCTCAGCATGTGCTGTGAGTTATAAATGCAGAAAAACTTTCACGTTTGCATATATATGCGTGCGCGTGTGGGTATGTGTGCGTGTGTGGGTGTATAGGTATATGGGTGTGTGTGCGTGTGTGGGTGTATGGGTGTATGGGTGTGTACATGTGTGGATGTATGCGGGTGGTGGGTACAAATGTGTGATTGCGTGAGTAGTTGATTTGGGCTGAATGATTTTTTTCGTCTTCGTCATTCAAATAAATTCAAGCAGTAATGTGAGAAAGAAACGAAAGGGATGTTAATTATCGGAAAAGAATATAATTGGTTGATCGAAATGGATTGATAATGGATTGATTGGTAAATTGAAGTAAACACCAAGTCTTCTATGATCTTTGACCTTGCTGTTAACAGTGATTAAAAGTGATTAAAATATTGAAAATTTTAATAAATGGAAACAGTACGATTGACAAAAATGCATGCATTAAATCCAATTCAGATGCTAAAATGATGATTTATTGATTTTATTCAATCGTTATAATTGAAAATTTCAAACAAGTTATGCTCTATGTCTAGGATGAGAATGAATTTGGTAATTAAAATAAATTGGGCCTCGAATAAGTTGTTTCCTACAGGAAGTATCGTTGAAGAGTGAGTCATTTCCAAAATATCTTTAAAATTTGTAAGTAATTTCAACCGATACGTCAAGCTGTTTAGCATTTACGCACTTAATTCAAACCGGCAGGAGAGCTGCAACTCATTGAGAAGGTCTTAGGGTGCTTGATTCACAGGATAAACGCGATGCTACGGTATTTGCTAAGATTAGGCATACCTCGTGTAGCTCCACCATGACATTTGTGAGTTCAGTAGTATTCCCGTTGCTAGCGGGTTAGCGGATGTTCCCGGATAGATTCGATTTTGTATTATTGGTGAATTTATGCTTATTAAAGATGAGAAATATTCGACAGTTCTATGTTCCCCACACCCAAAAGTACCCATCCTGAAATCGCACTCTATTGATATTGTGTAGTAGAGCAAATTTGAAATTGTACGGTTGCGACTGTGAATCATATTATGAGTTAGGAAATGACGAATGTCAATATCAACCCGAGTAGTCTCAGCAGGCTACCGGTTCGGGAGATTATGATAGGTCATTAGTCAGGATAATATCGATTAACTTTTGACGCGGATAATCTTGGCTCCTTGTTAGTTCTTGTAGTTGAGATTATTTTCTTTCTTACAAAGTCCAGTGGTCGGTATTTCGCACATTGTAGAGTTAATGGTTGGATGTAAGTGGTTGAATTCCATTATCTGTGGCTTGTTAAATTTAACACTTTTTATTGGCAGTGACTTTTCAAATTATGGGTTTGAGGGATCTGTTCAAGTACCTGCCGAAACGTCCGAACGGAATGAAGTTCCTGAAAACTTGTTCGAATTAATTAATCTGTTCGTTGTTGCAGCCGGGAAATAATGCCTCGTAGTAGATCACGCGACCGTCGGCGTCGTTCACGTTCTCATTCACGTGACGAGCGCCGTGATCGCGATAGGCGGTATCGCAAAGATAAGGACCGTCGACGAAGACGTGATTCTGACCATTCCACTTCCGATAATGAAATCGAGTCGCTATTGAAAAGGGAAAAGCGAGGGTAAGTGTATCTGGTTGAACTGGTGTACTGTGGGAGATGGACAATATAAATTTTGCTATGGGCGTATAATTTATGCTATGAGCATATAATTTATGTCTTTTAAAGAGTCAGTGCTTCGGTGTAAGTTGAAAGCAGTAAATATTATTTCACTTGCTGTACCTAAAAATTACCTCTCTCTCTTTTAAATCAACTGTGCTGCAGTAATTCGTATTGAGATAAGTTTATAATATGTATATTCTTTGAAATTTAGAAGATTCAGTGTTTTTTTAAACATTAAGTTATAATTGTCTGGTTTAGAAAATGGAGAATAGATTTCAGTAGTGAGACCTGATGCGTCACATTAACTGTGTTGATAATTTTTCGCTGATTATAGTGCATCATAAAGGGTTATTTCATTTCCGGGAAGGATATTTCGTAACTGCGGGTGAAGTATGCGTCATATTTTATACTTGAAATTACTCATTTCGACGTCTTATGATGTTTTGAGGCGGTATCCCAAAAGTCATTTTGCTGATTGAGAGCACAGTAGCAAAAAATATTTTGGTGGTGACCCATTTTCCTTTGATAAAAGTACTGTGGATCAAAAAAATCTTTTTGCCCACGAAGTGGGATTGGACGCAATGTTGCTTGGAGTAGGTAGGAGGTTGTTCGACAAAAAAAAAAATTGAAGTTTGAATAATAAAATTGCAGCAGTTGCATGACCGACTTATGTGAGTTCAATTTTTCTCAGTTATGATTTAGAATCTCGACATCATCAGGATTAGGCATTCACTGTCCTGCAACTGTGTAGTAAAATGTGGAATGAGATGGGCGCCTAAAATCCAGTTTTTTGTTAAACGATATTGATCTGAAACGAATATATGAAGTAGTAGTTGAAACTGTTGATAGATGTGTATTCCCTTACTTTTAACATGGAAGATGTTCGAAGTTCAGTATTAACAACGACACTTGTTTTCAGAAATGGTAGTTCAAATTCACCATCCACATCATTAGGAGCGCTGGTTAGCGAATTAGGAGCTGGGGTGAAATTTGATGCATCGCAGCTAAGTCAAGCAGCTAAAGAGTGGTTGGATGCAAGGGTTACTGAGCAGGTAATATTTTTTCTAAAGTCCACACGCGGATGTTTAAAGATTTCTCTTTATGTCATCAGTTGTCGACTAATCGAAAATTAAGTCCCTTAATTATTTCCGATCGTCACTGTGCGATGTGGTCAACCGTTGAAAGATCTTTAGAAAAGTTCCTGTTTCATTTAATTGCTACTGCGGTAGTTTTAGTTATCGATTATTATATGTTATCAAAGGATTGCATCATTCACTTAAGATTTTGGACTTAATTACTGATATTATTGCAACTCAAATTTTCGTAATCATATGCGGGCTTCAAGTAATTTTTTTTNTTTTTTTTTTTTTTTGTTTAACATTGACCATGTTCAGTAAAATACGAATGTGTTTACCACTTTTCTGTGACACTATTAAAATGAAATATGTTGGCCAGGAGGGTAGAGAAACAGCCAGTTTATGAGATGCAAATTTTTGCTTTTTGTCTTTTTTTTTTTCACTTGATTCGGGACTGGAAAGATTTAAGTCTTGGAAATTTCCAAAAAGTGGAGTTGAAATAATTTCTTTTTCATGCCAGATCTTTGCTTCCGGATATAAGCATTCCCAGTTCTTTATTTATAGTTCGGGTTCTTAACAAGTTAGTTTATGCTACGTTTCGTGTTAACGCCGTGTTAGGTGTCACACAAAAAAGAATATTGAACAATGGAGAAAGGCTGTCTGTGTGTGTGCACCTTGCGGCCGCTAATTAGCTGGAAGGATTCATTTATGGAGTCCGACCACAGAAATGGTATTTTTTAAAATTAGATCTTAATTTTGTAATTGACGTATGTCCATTTTGGAAAGTTTGCATACTGGCGCTGCTGTTTGGAACCATCAGATTTTTTCTTATTCAAAATTTCATTTTAAATTAATGGTTACCATCGCATTGCAGTGCAAGTCTTGCAAATTTTCTGAATGAAAAAAAGAACCTTCCCTTTCTTTTTTTCTGAACACTTTCATTTATAGGTGAGTGCAAGAGTAGCTGATTTGGAATCGTTGGTTCAGGAACGCGTTGCCAAAGCACGCGCAGACCTGGAATCCAGGTTACGTTCACAGATTGAGCAGGAAATGATGCACGAGGTGGAAGAAAGTCGAAAAAGAGAGGTAAGCTAAAACGCTTTCGCGGTGTTTTCATCATACCAGAGGGTGTGACCTTTTAGGTATCATCGCACAAGAACGATTAGAGGGAATTACTATCTGATTTCCAGTTTCATTATACACATTTAAGATCCAAAGAGTGGTAGTTAAAACCCCAGTCGAAGTCATCTATAAATTAATTAGGAGCAAGGACGAACTTTCTTTCTCTTCCATTGGCTTATTAATAGTGATTGACAATGTTGAATGTCCAGGTAGGTTGAATCCAGCTTGTTCAAATAGTATTTGCAGGAAGAATCCAAAAAGCGATGCACAGAGCTTGAAGAAAGTTTGGAGAAGAAAATGAAGGAACTGGAGGAAACGGAAAAGAAATTGGTAGAGTGTTAAAATACTTCACATTAGACATACAATTAGATTAAAACAGTGAGTGATGTAGTTTCCGTTATCGCCATGTTTCAGGCTCTTGCACAATTTCAGCTCAGATCAGTCGCGCAGCAGCTGTTTGAATTACTTTGAATTACTTATAAATAATTAAATCAGCTGATATTGACTAGCGACCACTATTCTTTGTTGACCCAGAACGGTCAACAAAGAATAGTGGTATTTCGGGAGGAAATTCATAATGTGCACATACCTTGCACAGTACTTGGACATACACTGCTGCGTGATATCGCTGGGATACAACAGGCAAGCTACTAGTAGGTGTTCCGTTGGCCGATAAGCTGTTGCAACGCCAAAACGAAGTACACGAATTCGTACTACTGACCGAGCAGTATGTTCATTCAAATATGAGCTTTTCTTAGAATCCTGATTGGGCAATTGTTGGTTTCGACATATTTCTTGTAGTGGTATTTATAGTTACGAGTAGAACACGGGTTACTAGTCTCTAAGGTGTTTCTGTCGTGTGCATGTAGTTTTGAGTTATTTTAAATCGTCGTTTTTTTCTTTTTCCTTTTTTTTTCTCACCATCTATCAGTCGAAGGTCCATTTTTTCAGAAGCAGGAACGCTTATTAATGCTGGAAACGAAGGGCAAATTAGAAATGGAACGAAATGCGCTGGTTCAGGAACGCGAAATGTTAACCAAAAGTGAGCAACAAGCGATACTGAATAAAGGTGGAACAATGAGGGCGCCAATCAAGTTGAAGCTCGGCTTTAAATGAATGAAATGATGGTGGTGATGGAACGACACTACGAAATGTATTAGATTAAATTTGAATGACTCATGAAGGGCAGAGGTATGTGCGAAATTCTCACGCCGAAATGTTTTTTTTTTAGCTCTAGTGCTGAGAAACAACTTGCTTTACGTCTTCCTTTTATCCCCTTTGAATTCATGTTGCATTATTGTTTTGTTCCCTTTTTTTTCAATTTATAGTTCGTGTCCATCCTAGTATTTTTTCTATTATTGTTCGTACATTGTATATAGAAATGAATTTTCAACTTACAAAACTGGAGTGGAGCAAATCCTTCGGATATTTAGTTGGTACGATGAGCTCATCCTGGCGAGGAAGCCATCTTTAGAAGTCTCGAATCAAACCGAGTTGGTTTGATACTACCTTTAGGCGATCACTGGTGATGATCGACCTGATCGCTAAATCATAAGCCTTGAATGTGTGTGGGACGTTTGCACGGGATCGATGGGTTACATTATTTTTTGTGAAAATTATCGTCCCTTTAACAGACATAGTTGAGCCGCATGTTATTGCTAGTGAAAGTCTAAATTCAACCTCAGCTTGTACGCGAGGAAATTGACGGTATTGTTTAAATGATAATTCTTTGGGAAGATTTTGACAAAATAAGTAATGTATGTTCGACAGCCTTCATTTATTCGAGATTTGTGAATTTCAGACGTTCTGTTACATATCATTTGTTGCACAACTGATGAATAATTTATTATGACTGCCAAAATGACAGAATTAGCACGTTGCACTGAAAGACTGCATACTCAACTGCTCCTTGGTACTGTCGTCGCGCCCAGTTTAGTCTGAGCGCTTTCGGTTTTCCCACCGAAGTGCAAGCTTCGGAATTATCTAGTTTTGACGTGAGAGCTTATACATAGTGTTCAAGATAAAATTTTAAAGCAAGAGTAGGGAAGATCGGAGTAGTTCTTAATACATTGGCATGCTTTACAGTGGTGTAGATTGAAAAGATTGGTAAGGTTGGCTAGGATGTTTGGCAAATCTGCAAAATTTTAGTTACTCAAAAAATCTTATATCTAACTTGTCCAAGTTGGCTTCCTCCGAATGTAAGTGCACCATTAACTGGGCTTCAAAATCATCTTTAATTTTATTGAAATATATCAGCTCCGGTCTCCTTCTCGTCCAAAATGCACAGAACAGTTTGAACACTTGACCTGAAGTCATGTTTTACGGCTAGCTTAAACCTAACAAGCATAGGCGGGCATACAAACAACGGAGTCCTTTCAAGTGCAAGTGATGCAAATAATGATAGATTTCAAATAACATACAAAAAACGTGGTGGAAGTTATCGATTGTTGGCGTGCCGCAAATAGTATTGTAAAAGTGCATTTTTAATGCATCGCATTGTAGTAATCGTCTAACCAGAGCTGTCAAATTGATTCCTGTTACAGCCATTGGAAAACTAGAAAGGAGTATAGTATCCAAGAAATATGAAAATAGCGAAAAATGGTAGGAGACCACCATTTTCCCGCTTTCCGATCCAGTGAAATGTAACTTTCCCCTTCTTCCTTTGATAAACTCAGAAGGAAACAAGGACAATTAGATTTTTTGGGATTGTTAAAAATATAAATAAAGATTGTAATGAGATATACCAATGAAAGGTATCAACTGATGAGTAACTTTTGCTTACCCATACAAAGGATGATTTGAAAGAGAAAGTATTGACTGTGCATGTGCAACATCGTATTGTGCCAAGAAAATCAGCTGTTCCAGCGAAAGAATTCCCATACCTCGGAAATCAGTTGACGGATCGTGACCCTGAAAGTTCTCCCATAATTGAACAATTCAAAAAATATAAGCATTACGGAATCAGTCATTATTATTTTTTATAACTAGGATATCGGTGCAGTCCTTTGTATTTTGATGTGTTGGATAAAATAAAAAGTAGCTAAATTACTAGTTGTGCACGCTTCTGAAACCTCACTTCCAATAAAGAGGACAGGGTAAGTCGGAGATTCCTGAAATGGATGAAAACATTTAAATTCAAGTAAATGAAGCAAATGGAAACCAAATGAATACGCTTGCTGTCATTTTCATATTCAGCTTATTAATTAAGCTAATAGAAGGAAATCATGTTTGCCTGAAATCCAATCTTCTGCCACTGACCCGTCATTCTAGCTTCCAGATCTTCCGTTGGCATTAAAAGTTCCCATAGTCTGAGCAATCTACAAAGATGGGAATAAAACGGTCGACATGGTTTGACATACCGTTCGTATGAAACATAGAATCAAACCTTTTCTCATGAATTTCATTACCACGATCATACTTCTCCTTACACATTTCCTCGACATGATCACATAATTCTCGGTAGCCACGTATTTGGCCCAATGACCTCTTTAGTACATCTCTCATCTCTCCAAACTGTTCATTGTTCACTTCTGAACAGAATCTCTTGACGATTTCTGTTGCCTAAATAATGACTTCTAATAATGTCGTAAAGAGATACTTGTGTATTAAATATCAAAAAACCCTGAAAATGAATGAAGAAAATAGAAGTTCGACATAAAATGAAATAAAAACTTGAAATAGTTGAAATAGAAACTTTCGAAAAGTATCGAATAGAATGCTAACAAGTTTGTCTTCCTGTCCAGCCTTCCAAAACCTCGGCATTGTTGGTAGCTCTCCTTCACCAATGAGTTTTTCCACTTCTGCTGTGATCCGACCACGACTACTGGTTTTCCAAGTTAACTAAAATTGTTAATTATATCTAATTGACGGTCCAATTCTCCTACTATCTCGCCATTTTGTTGGACTATCAATTTATTACTAATATTATATCATTCAGCTTTGGCAGAACTTATACGAAACCCCATGTTATAATAACACATATAAATATGTTTACAATTCTTTCAAGCTCCGTTTTGCCAGTTACCATTAGCATGAACCAATTTAATGTAATTCGTAATAGGCGACGAAACATGACGCATATGTTCTGGTAAAGGTTGAAGAAAAAACCTTCGTCGTGCCAATCCATGAAAGTTATTGGACAGAAATTCTAAAATCAAATTACAGGGAAATAACATGCTTCTATTATCAATTATAATCGTCTATGAATACTTTAAATGGTATCTCTCGAAATCGTAAAATACAAAATAATCGTAAGAATGCAAGACGGATACTGGATTTACATCATACTAGGAACGAACTATGCAGTTAACAATTTCGGCCCAACATAGAAAAGCTCAGAGTAATAACAGTTTTCCCATGATAATAAGTCCTAAGAAATTTTCATCGTCGACTGTACTATTAACTTGTTAGAAAAAGTCGAAATGAATGAAATGACTCCAGTAAAGATCCTTCATTCTATAACACTTATCCTGTACACAATGAACGTAAATGAAATAAAAAGCATTGCAGATAATTATTTTGCTGCCTTCGTTAAAAAACAAAGGTATCTCAAATGATGTGCAAACAATTTAATCATAATATAGTACACAAATCTACTAACAATGTTTTGATACAAAATTGTTTTGGACATGTAAAGAAAAAAAAAGAAAAAACAATAGAAATCGCAGAGGACAACTGCAAATATATGTAAAAACAAAACTTTTCGGTAATAAGTGTGAAAACTGAAAAATTCAAGGTACAGAGTAAGCACTTTTTATGACCCATGCAGATACACCAGTACAGAAGTGCATTATAGAGTCAGTAATACGACACGTTAAGTAATAATGAACGCAAAATTTCACTATGCCATAAAGTAAAGGATTTATCCCAGTCAGTAATATCTTAGTTCTTTGCATTATTCGTCTCACAACGATATTACTGATTCAAAGCTTCGGGAAGAACGGTGATGGTATTTGGAACAGTCGAATTATAATGTTCACCTAAATCGTAGGCAAATCGATGGAATGTAATCACGAGAGGTTTTTTGTCGCTGTATTCTTCTCCAAAAAACAAAACCTGTCCTCCTGGTTGAATTACTTCAATTCGCCTTTCCAATGCATAAGCTGTAGCTCGAAGCTATAATAATGAAACTAAATGTATAGAAAATAAGATGCAACCTAAAAGTTGCAAAACAAAACGTCCCATTCTCTGTTATCATTATCACTTAGAAGTTTTGGAACTTTTACGAGCATACTTAAATTATAGCCACAACTGATTTGAACAAAAGTAATGCAGTAGGAAAGTAAAATCCTGTTAAGCTGTAAATTATCAGAACTGCGTGATACTTTACTTTGCGTTTCAAATTTGCTACCATTGAAAATTTAAAATTACCTCCGGTTCTCCACCCCAAACACCACCATCTGTACAGCATTTCTCAACTTTCATACAGTATTCCTCAAATTCGATCTCATCCACTGCCTCCCCATCATCGTCAATTAAAAAGGGAAGAAAATCATCTTTATGTGCTTGCATATAAGCAGCAGCCTTTTGACGAATATCTGCACCTCTAAACTGAAATAAAATTTTTATTTGGTCGATTTTGGTCATTTATATTGGTGACTTTTCATCTGAATTTAACCAACTCAAGACATTTATTAAAATAGAATAAATAAAAGTGACTGATAAAGGCAACCTGACATGAAGTGACCAAGGATAGTTGATGTGCTATAGCACTGTACATGCAATCACCATCGGGTTCAATATTATGTATCGTAAGTCCACGATCCATTAGATGCCGCTCGATCGCTTCACTTTCGAATTTTCCTAAAATGTTCCAGAACTGAAGCGAATTAGAAAATGTTTCCTTCTGAACAGCGCCATCACTATTTTTTAATAAAAACTATTTTTGAATACTTGAAAGTCTAAATGTAAAGGAAACCATACGAGGAGCACTTTCCGCATCAATCCTAGCTTGGAGTGCTGCTTCTTCCCGTTTCCTGTTGACTTCGGCTTTTTTATCCTGGAATTGTTGTGGAATTTGAAATTTTCTAACAGATGGAGTGGTCAAGTTTTTACTTCTGGAATATTAAATGCATAGTACTTCCATAAACTATAAGATGGTATGCAGTTTTCCTATAATTACAAAAGTTTATCAAGACTTGAAAGAATTAAAAATCATTGGAAAAATTTTGAAAGTCTCATAATATCAGTGGCAGGCCTCAAAGAAGTTGTAACAATTATCTCTCTGACAATATAATATCTACATTATTTTATAATGTTCAACTCTCAGAAAGTACTTAACTTTTAGGTCGCATAGACAACTTTACTTGGTAAATATTATAAGATTTTGGCTGCAAATAAAAAAAGAGAAGGAATGGAATAATATAATCAACATAAAAATTTTATACAGTATTCTTTCACAAAAATTGTTAAAACTTACTCGTCTTCTTTGAGCTTTCGAGATGTGTGGTTTTTTTTCTTGATTTTGCTCTACAACAATTGGCTCTGCAGACACTTCTGGTGGTGTTGATGGCGCTAATTCGGCTAATTCCTAAATTATTATATTCTAAAATCCTTTCTGAGAATCTCAAATGTTTCATCGCTATCGTCAGTTTCGGTTGGTAATTCTGTATGGTTCAAACTTATATAATGAAACAAATTTTTGTAATGCATTGAGAACTTGACACTGGCCTTACACAGAATACTGAAATATTCTAAAATGGGTACTTCATCGTTAAATAGTGGTTTGATTAGTTAACATATCTAAACAATAAAATTAGCGGTTTTTCATATTCCTAAAGATATCTTCCATATGTTCACAAATTTAGAAAATTCAGAAATTGTTAATGAACTTTTTTTGCAAATTAAAACTCCGAAAAACATCACCTAACAAATAAAAAGATATTCATTTCATCAGTAATATCTTCTAAAGAATTGATTAGAAATTCATTTGGACTGCTATTAAAATATTCAAATGACTATTGAAATTGCACTAGGATGTTATTATAATGATAAAAGTATATGTAAATCAGAATAGAAAGACCTCTTGATGGCGCCTTTTCATTTCTTCTTCCATTTTTGCTATCTCTGCAATTACTTCTTTCTTTCGCTTTTTGTCACTTTTATCAATGGAATGTTTCATGGTCATTACTTTGGCTGAAATATGCATAGCGTTAATGATGCAATTGTGAATAATACCATTCATTATCCATACCTCTTTCAAGTAATACATCCTCAGTTCTGCAACTAATTCCCATCAAAGTTAACTTTTTATCTTAACAGTAAATATAATTAATAAAAATCATATAAAATCAAAGAAAAGAAAATTTGTCAACATTTCAAAAACAAAAGCTTAAAAATTAAAATGAAGTAAATTACACTGTAGTTCTTTACGTTCTTTTCGATGGGCCGCTTTCAGCTGTCCCAAAGGAGTCACATCTTCTTCCTCAGTCATCGTTCTATTCCGACAAGTTAATAACTAATTAAATCTAAAATTTAAAGTATTCAGATTCTAAACGCAAAAGGACTACTGATAATAATGTTTAATCAGATGAATGCGGATTTAAACATAGAATAATATTAATGATATCAAGTGATATTGAAATGGATATTTACTACACAGATTTGAATTTGGATTTGGTATTTTCCTCACGGTAAGTGTTAGATATTCAAATCGGTAACCATCAATTGATGACCGCTTCTCTTCCGGAATGCTCACTGAATGCTATCCGGAATGCTAATAATCTTCCTGTTCGGTGAAATGGAATCGGGACATTACACAACCCAAATACTCAAATCAATAACCAATAAACTATAACTGCTTCTCTTTCAGATTATTCACTGAGAAGCTTTGATATTTTGATCGTAGATCAACCATATACCACCAAAGGATGATAAAATAAATGGATTAATGTACTAGGGGAGGGGGAATAGAGTGATAAAATATCACGAAACAACATGTGGCTAGAGACTGAGAAAATCCCGAATGATTGGAATAGTATGAGAGCGATAATGGATGACAAAGAAAATATCGAAGTAACAAGACAGACAATGAATGTAAAGATATCATAGTCCTGTCACATTTTTGGGAAGCACGAGTTTGTTACCGGTTTGTATCCGTGATGCGATCCAATACAAGTCCTTGATTTCAAATTGTATGTTAGGGATGTCAGAGGCATTTTTTACCCCGTGGAGTCTCAGGTTTTTTCCGATGCATTTCGCTCAACCGGTCTATTTATAATTTGCGATTTACCTATTATTCGTTTTCCTGATGGAGATGGCCTTATATCCTTTTTTTATTGGCATTCCATTCGTTTCTGATTCTTCCATTATATAATTTATGACATTAATCATTTTACCCTAATTTCATGGTGACAATTTTGCAGAAGTGCAAGGATGTCTGATTCCGATAGTTCAAGTGCTAAGAATAAGAAAAAACGACCGAAGGAAACGAAACGTGTCAGAGAAGTGCCATTTTTGTTTTTTATTTCAACCTCAAAGTTTTTGCAAAACATATCTTTCAGAGTTAATGTTTCATTACAAAACTGTAAATGAGTATGTCACGCCCACGCATGAATGTAGCTGTCACTTTACTGATACCATTTTCCAGGAATCATCATCTCTCCATGCTCTTCATCTTGACCTCTATTGTTTTCATCGTGAAAATGTCACATATGAGCCTTCTCTTGGATTACAAATGACATGAAGCGAAGGCTCGAAAGAGTTACATAGTACTGTAAAACTAAAGTGTATAGAAGGGGATAAAATACCACTCTTTTTGACTTATATAACGAAATAGATAAAGGTTATGTGTAAATCAAGTAGATAAAGGTTATGTGTAAATCACTTTTGTTACCAGTTTAAATGACCAGCTAATGAGGTCTTTATTATGAGTATTAGCTGTTTCCCTTCAGAACAGCACTTCCGACGAAAGTATTATCGATAAAACTCCCGTAAAGAAAGGTAAAAGTAATGATGGTGGTTTCAAGAATGCCGATGGTGAAGAGGTATCTTCTCTCGTCCCAATTTTTTAAATTTCAATCATAGTTAATTACAAACTAAGCATATATGTCATCATTTATCGTTGTATGCCGAAAAATATTGGGAGGAATTATAAATGTCAAATAAAAGGCATCCATTTCCATATAATAGGTAATGCATCCATTTTCATATAATGGGTGATTTTTCTGCAGTCCGGATTTCTTGTGTAGAATACAATTCCGAAAAATTTTGTTTCCCACTTTTAAAAAGAGGTGGATAATAATTCTTGAATTTTGTGGTTGGTTTTTCCCAGTTTTAAATTCTGGTTTTTTTTCTCGAAATAATGAGAGATTAAAACGAGAAACATAAATTTTCATTGGTTATTTGCAATTTGTTCAGCTTTATAAAAATTAGTTCTAGATGTTCGAATTGGGCAAAATGCGTTTCGTGACGGTCCGATCCTTCAAAGGCAAAGCATTGATTGATATTCGTGAGTATTATCAAGATAAGGTAAATCCTTACCTGTAGCATTAATGACTTTTTCTTCAGTCTATAGTTAGAAATTGAAAGTATACGAGGTAATGTGCTATTCTCTGTATTCAGTTGGTGAAAAGTTGTTTTATGGGTAAGTTCAAGTATTACAGTTTCTATTGCGGACATAAATTATCTAACATTTGCCCTCACTTCTACCTGTCCAGATTCCTAAACGTTGATTCGGTTTTTCTCAGTAGACGGTGCCAAAAATACATTGGTTAACATTTATAAATACTGAATTGCCGATGTCTAGAGTGAAATTCGGGTTAGAGTGGACTGGTATGGTTTTCATTACATGAAATGGAATGCAACAAAAAGAAAAATTTAGAGAATATGTTTCCAGATCATTAATGAATAAGTTCCTGTTTATAAATGTTTAATTCAAATTTAAATGTTAGAAAATGAAAATCTCCAATTTCTGTTTCATTTCTGCAAACCATTTTGAAACTGAATGCTTGAAAATGTCCTGCGAATACAATTTTTTCTGAGGTAAAAAACAGATTTTTGTTAATGTAGAGCGTGGATTCCACGACTGTGTTTCAGCATTTGATAACTTTAATTTTCTTCTTAGATATTTTCGTTGCATTCTTTTCTTTTTATCATTTTATCATTGCAGAAAGGGTAAATTTTCAGGGTAGCGGTGAACTGAAACCGGGACGTAAAGGTATTAGTTTGTCAGGAGAACAATATCAACGGCTGAAGGCTATTATGGGTGATATAGACGAAAAGTTAAATAATGCCTAGATATTCTTCCCGTACTTTGATATAGTATTTGACTATTGTCTTTGTTGATTGTCGATCTCGATATCATTTAAACATCATTATTATCTTAATACAGTTTCGAACGAAAGTTATCATAGTGCTTTGCGTTGATAGTCGTTGCTGTTAAGGTTTTTAAATGTCTTCTCTGTCGTATTATCACTTGTTACTCTTTTTTATGAAAATACTTCCAGACTGACTAGGATAGATTCTATACAGATAACTTGCCTTTCTTGAAAAAAAAAAAAACTTTTCTTTGGTGTTTATCCGGGACAATAAGCCAAGGCTCGATGAAAAGTGAGCAACGTTGAACAGTCTTGTCTTCTGGATTTAGACTTCATTTTCTTCGTTATTTGTAAAAAATTTGTTCATTTTTTATTTTTCATTTTAAAAACCATTAAAAAGACACGCGATATATATAGTAACGCATATCATTACTTAATCTGCATAAACTTAGATTTGAAGAATGATAATACCACGACCAAACAAGGATGCTAGTACTAGTCGCTACGGAGGACAGAGGACCTGTAAGTAATTTAATAACAGACGCTGGAAGTGATAGACTGCTTGCAGAAAAAGGAAAAAAAACTACCGTAAAAACGGAAAAACTATCACAAACTTTTCTTTACGAACGAAAGTACCGTAAACTATCGGCATGGCCAAAGTGAGGATGTAGGATTGACAAGGTCAGTAATGGCAAATGAAAGGTGAACGCAGAATGCAGATGCAGGATGCGTGCCAATGCAGGGTGTTCCTGCATGATAAGCAGTTGGATTGTACGTAGCGAAATGTTCCTTCTTTCGCAATTCGGCCGCAAACCCATGGGTAGTGACGTCGGTGATAAAGTAGGATGGCCGTTGGAGGTGGGTGGGTGTTGCAATTTTTCTAGGGGAAGACCGGGAGGTTCTGTCGCGTAGCTTCATATTTTGGGACGTGCGGAGATCTGACAAAGAAATTAATGGTATAGAAATTGGTCTGGCAAGTTACTTATGTATACTTGTCCAGCTGATTTCAGGTTACCATTTTTTAGCATAGGCATATGTTGCGTTTTATCGGATAAAGGCGTATCATAACAAGCCAGCGGTATATAGCATTTGAAAATTACATTCTGGAGTCGAATATTCGAAAGTTTATTTTCAGGATCTCATCCAAATCATGGCACTAGCTAATCGGGGACGAAATCAAAAATTACCACCAGAAGTGAATCGAATTCTTTACGTCAAGAATTTGCCATATAAAATTACCAGCGAAGAAATGTACGATATCTTTGGGAAATTCGGTGCTGTACGTCAAATACGAGTGTAAGTTTGTTCATTCCTTTCATTTTAATCTTCCTTCTTTTTTTTTCACCACTACTTAGGGACTGTGGTCACATGTATGGCTTTTGTTATGAATCCGGAAAATTCTGGATTTCAATAAAAGTTTCAACGGTTCGTCAAATCTGACAGTTGATAGACGAATTAGCTTGTATTATTCCTACCAGTCAACTTTATTGTGGGATCAATAAAGTTATTTGTATGCTACTGGTTAGCAAATATTTTATGTTTTGTATAAGTTTCTAATTCGACTAATTTGTCGTTACCGTTTGCAGTCCACATATCAAATATTATGAATGAGAATGGAAAATTATCTCCATCATTTTTATTTGTTTCATCTTCGAGCAATTTTAGGAAAATATTATGAGATGTTAATACGATTAGATTACTTCTTTTATGTATGCTTTGAGGACAGTATATTTCTTTACTGTCTTCGTCACCTTACTTATTGCATCATAGTTCCAGTTTTTTAGGGGGAATACAGCTGAAACACGTGGAACAGCATTTGTAGTTTATGAAGATATTTTTGATGCCAAAAATGCTTGTGAGCATTTATCTGGTTTTAATGTATCGAATCGATACCTCGTGGTACTATATTATCAGGTACGTACAGGCTTTGTTATTCTTTTTCAGTGTTTGAGAATGTAACATATTAAATTTAGATGAATTTTTTCCTTCTCAGATTCATTTTGCATTGGTTGATAACGAAATTTGGTTTGTCAATGATGAAACTTTTTTTCCTTCAAAAGAAATATTTAATTGCATAAGTTTCTATAGTTTAGAAAGTTTCAAAAGTCTTTGATAATGAACTTAGGTGTTTTTTCGTGCAAATAGCTCTTAAAATTTGTAGATACCCGAACTTATATGATTACTAATTTTCATATCTTTTTGTACAGGCGACAAAGGCTTATCGAAGAATGGATACTGATAAGGCGAAGGAAAGACTTGAAGAAATTAAGGAGCGATATAACTTAGGTGGTGATTTGGAAAAAGAAAAGAAGGATAAGTTGGGTTACACACCCACACCTCGAAGATAATCACTTGTTTTCCACTGTTTTATCTTTGTACAGTTGTTTATTCTGTAATAAAAATGTGATCATTCGTACTTCATTCATGATATTTTGACAGACAACTGAGGATGACATTTATTTACAATAGTGCTTATCAACTAGATATCTGCATGTTTTACATTTCACATAACAGCAATGGACATACTTACATTGGCACTGTTCTTCAACGAGTGTCTGTTTAGTGTAGTACCCACGTCCACAACACAAACTACTGCAACTGTTTGTATCCGACGACGTCAGATTACATTCTCTGTAAAATCAAAAATAAAAAAAAATTGAAATTGTTCGGTCTCTCTAGTTCGGATATTATATTTTGTAAAATCAAAAGCAGTTAATAAGCAGTTGTAATAAAGAGGCAAAAGTACGAAAGACAAGAGACATCATTTTTCTTGGGTTGGAAAACAGAAGGGAGCACCCGGATTTGAACCGGGGACCTCTCGATCTGCAGTCGAATGCTCTGCCACTGAGCTATGCCCCCTCTTGACATAAACTTTGCTGTACCTCTTAAATTATAAAATTAAAAGACAATTTATTCACCTCATCATTGTACCATATGAACCTGTCCTACTGTCTTCTACACAATAATCGGGTGAATTCCGAAGATAAACCTGAAATTTAAAATTGAAATGTTAAGAAATACTCTGAAATGTTTTGTTAATTTTATTAAGTTGAAAAGCAGTTGTCCAAAATTACCAATAATAAAATTTTGTGTAAAGCTTAGTTTAAGCAATGAAATGTAATTGTCACAGATAATTGTGAGGAAAATTCTCTCATTAACTATTGAAATTTCAGTGTGTTTTTATGATTGCAATTTCATTTTAATGAAAAATATTAAGAAATATATGTGAGAATGTTGTTATTCCTCATATCATTATTCCATTATTTTGTTTTTAAGAAATGCTAAGAAGAAGAAGCATATTTTAATTACCAAATGTTGTCGTGATAATTCACCATGCATTGTCTTATCAGCATATCCAGATTGTGATAATAATTCTGATAACAGTAATGCTTCACTATAACGTTCCCGTAATCTTAATGAAGGAAAATTTTTGGTTTATTAATTAAATTTGGAGCAATCCAAGAAATATGTTTCCGATATCGTAAAGCTAATGACATTCTTCAGGAATGGTACACATAATAAATGTAAAATAGAAGTGCAAGATAACGTGATATTTGAGATATTACAGGTAATGCAGGTAGTACAGGTAGTAAATATATCGATACCGATAATCTGCTGATGAAATATAGAAATTAAACGAATAAAAGGATAGAAAAACAAACTTCAATGCTATATCATGAACATCCGGTAAGGTATTCCAGCATGTCCTTACATTACAACTACTCGATACACCATGACATTTGCATTTTCGGTACAAACTTTCTTGTGTTACCTCGAAGAAGTAATTTATACTTTAATAAAAATAAAAATTTATTTAAAAAAAAAGCCGGAAAAATGAATCTTTGACACAAAGATCAAAGGTTAATCCAATTTCAAGGTCACAAAGATCATTCTTATAGTGAAAAAGAAAAAATTCATGAGCTAAAACTAATTTTAGCATTAATTGTCATTAGTCATTAATCATTTCATAATGAAAGTGACAAATACCTGTCGTCCAACTTCATTATTATGTTCATTCATTCGTGCACGTGGTGGAAGATCAATGATTGATTTATGCTCCGAGAATTCTGTATTGATATAGGCCCAGTCATCGAGTAATTCCTGCAAAAATATTCATCTAATATGAAATCCATTTAACATCTTTAATGTAGAACGGATTATTTGTATTGTCCAATAAACTTTATCCATGATCGAATTTTCAATTTTTTTTTTTTGGATCTTCTTTGGTATTTCGGTAAAAAAAGAAGCAGTATACAAGTTTTATTCCTATCTCATGTAACTATTAATTAATTAAAAGTAATTAATAGTATGAGGGTAATAAACTTGTCAATGTGATTTTTTCAAAAATTTGACAATTTTTTAATTTTCTAAAGCTAAAACAACTACTTACTCGATAACGACGCTTGCTCGACGCGGTTCCATTGTTACCTGGGCGCCATTTTTTGCGCCACGAAGCATCAGCCCATTCACGACTTACTTTTTGTCCGTACAGTACATTATCACTACATCCTTTCCACTAAAAAGTAGAAGATGATTCAGAGAAAGATGAGAAAGATAAAAGTATAAGTATTTCCGAAACGTTAAAGTTTGATTAACTGAGAATGAAAATTCTTTAATGAAATTTTAAAAGTAATTTTGGCAACGATAACATTGAATTGATAAGATGTCCTAAATTTGATAATTTAACTTATGTCACCTTATATGAGGCATCAGCAGATGCAGTTGGTGAATTCAAACCACAGGGACAATAAGGTAAATCACCAGAAACACAGGCTTTGGCGACATGATGTGTGAGTGCTGCAGATGAGAGAGCATAAACGAATGCTTGTTCTTTGGTACCTAAAAAGGTCAAAGAATAAACGAATGCTTGTTCTTTGATACCATGAAAAGGTCAAAGGTTCCTATATTCGCAATATTTGGTATCATCTTATTCTCTTATTCAAATAACGATGATTAGACTGCAACTTTGCATGCATAGTTATGAATTTAGCATTTATGAACACGAGTGAAAACTTTCTAAATTGAGCGAAAGTATGAAAATTTCCACGTAACATCACAAAATATTACAGAATCCATACGTCCTATATATTATCACAGTATCCAAATGTAATACCATAATTTTTATGTGATGTTGTAGAGTTTATAAGTAATTAATAATTTTCACGTACTATTACTACAAGTAATTGATTAATTGTCACGTACTACTATTACTACTGACTTTTTACGTAATGTCATAAAATCCATAAGTAATGTTATTAGAATCCATAATTATATTTAAATAAAATTTTGCAATACTTTGCGTTATTTCTAAAATAAAATAGTGAAATTAATTGCATAAAATTAGTAACGTTAAAATTTACTTAACTTTGGTAAGATCAGATTTGTATTGTGGTGCTCGAAGTATTGATGAACAATTCCAACGATGATCGGCAAATACTTTCTGACATATTGATACAGTTGTTTGAGATGCTCGAATGATAACAGGCATTAGATCGGATATACGACGACACATACGAGCCTACGCATATTACTTACTGTATTATTAGGTATTAGTTGAATATGAAATTATTTATGACTTGAATACATTATTGTATATTTCAAAATTTCCTATGATTGGAATAAGTAAAAGACAATATAAATATGATTTTGATTAATTAAAATTTACAAATTATCTTTATTTATACTACTAGTAGATATTGTCTTTATGGTTCATTTCTTTTTGTTTTTATTTTTGGATAAAATTTGATTGAATCCAAAATCTAAATCAGAAATCAAAAATTATACTCATAATATCTTTTACTTTCTTTTACATATTGTCTCTTTACTTATTATTCGTTTATTTATTATTATTATTAAAGCTCAAACGTAGCTTACTTACTTGATATGCAACCAATCCATAATTCTTACGTAAATTCTGATTTTTGGGACAATGTCTTGGTTCTGTCCATGTATTTGTTACTGTATGAAGTGATCTAGAATTTAATAACTTTTTATTTAGATTAATTTTAAATGAAATTATTTTCTAAAATTTCGTGGCAAAGTTTTGAAATTACACAAAAAGCATTTAAATTTTAATCTTTCTTTTTTTTTTGCTTTTCTCCTTTTTTTTGCCATTGCTTTTATGTTTAGAAGAAGGAAGAGTTAATCCATTCTCTTAAATTAATTGTGACAAGAAGCAAAGGATCATCCCATAGGATCCCATTGAAAGCTAAGTTAATCAAATTTTAATTTGTTCGATAGCTCAGAATAACAAACGTTGGATAACAACAACAACAACAACAATCATTACTCATAATAAATTCCTCTTCCCGATTTGACACTTTTACGCATCAATCTTTCTTAGCTACAGTAATACTATTCTGAATACCAAAAAAAAAGTCCAATTTTATTAATTAATTTTCTTCTTCAATTGTTCGAAAACGAAGAAATTTCAATGAAATCGTATAATTTAGATAATGTTTTTTTTTCTTTTTCTAAATATAATGTTTTTCCTATTTTTTTTATTTCATGAAAATGGAATGAAAATAATTTTAAGAATTCAATGTTAGAGAAAGAATTTAATTTCAAATTTTGTTAATTAACATCCTAATTACATCATTCTATTCTCATGAAATAAATAGAAAAAATTAATTGACATAAACTTGACATGAAAGTATTCCTTTTTTTCTCGTTAAATAGATATAGTTTCACTTGTAAGTAATAATCAATTAAAGGTAATTGTTATCAATCATAGGTAATCATTTATATATCAACGATCGGTAGGCACAGTTCCTCCTGTATCGTTGAGGATAATAACGATTAGACTTAAATTAAATTTAACTATTAGATTAATTGACTAATTAGATTAGTGAGAATTAATCGGATTAATTAAGCTTAATTAGATTAGCTTGAGCTAACACTTTTGAAAATTGATGAAACTTTCGTAGGAATTTAAAACTTTCTCTTAAATGCGTCAAAAATTCATAAAATTTAGGTATAGAAAATGACAAGAAAATGATTGAAACTTACAGCCATTTAATGGAAATACATCGATTGCAGGTACAAATCATTAAAACTAATATAATTAACGATCCTGTTGATGGGATATTCATCTTTACTCGATCAAATTTAACCAATTAAATGATCGTTTAGTTAAATGTATTCACATCTGAATGAACCAATGATTACAATTTGCTGAGGAGATGGTAAAATAATGGATGATGATAAGAAGGAGGAGAAATTTTACTCCGTAAAGGCTTAAATTTAAAGGGCTATAAATTTGCATAGCAAAAGGAATGAAAACCCCGCCCTTGAGATATTTAGTTAAACGACCTTGCCTCTTCATAAAACCCGAAGCATAAACCTATAACTATCTAAAATTTACGAGCGTATTTTACGGCCTAATTTTAGGATGGATAAGATAAAAGTATGGAAAGTTGAAAGGAAATAATAGGCATTGAAACCCTTTGAGAGTAATGTAAAATTTCACGAAAAATCGTAATTTTTCGTATAGAAATCATTTCAACTTTTTAGTATTTATAACATTTTTTTTTTCCATTCATTTTACTTCCCTTTTTGTTTCCATTAACAATGAAAATTTACTTTTATAGGCCTCATTTTACAGTATCTCTTTGCTTTTTCGTTGCTTATTTTTTAATCATCAAATACAGTTATTATAGTAAGCAATTATAAATTTGCATATGAACATAATATTATCAATAAAATGTATCATCCAATTTATCTCTTACAATCAATATTATAAAATACTAGAAAAAAAAAAGAAAGATATTTTCCTTCTGTTCTTAATTGATCATTGATCGATGAAAAAGTCAACTTTTTTGAAAACAAATTTAAAATGAAATAATAACTAAAATCTAATTTATTTTATGTTTTTTTTGCAATTCAATTTTGGAAGTTTTTGAACTTTTTTATGTTACCTTTTAAAATTGTAAAAAGAGATAGAATTTAAAACTCATTTTATATAATTCAGTTTTGATCAAATAAAGATTCTTTTGAATTATTCATACATGCACAAGTTAGCTGAACTGAATATTAGAATAAATTTGAACAAAAAAAAGTGTCATTCGTTTAATTCAATGACACATTCAGTCTCGTCTATCGTATACCTGTTTAACCTTTCACCTATTTTTCCTTGTTTTTCTTTCATTCCTTTTTCTCCTTGGCAAATTCAAAATCTTTCAAGTTACAACTGTTTTTGATATGTTAGTGAAGTGTAATACTAAATTTAAAAATTTAGATTTATTCAAATATCTGAAATGGTTGAAATTTTTGAAATTAATAAATGATTTCAAATTTCATTTCAAGCAGTAAATGAAAAGTAAATTATTCTGTATATTCACATATATCATAGTATCTATGAATGAAAACATTCCGTTGTTTAAATTAGTAGCAATAATGATAAATCATTATCAGTGATTTTAATGGATGAAGAGGATTGGTTACTGTAATCATTATTGGAATTGAAGTTATAAAACAAAATTTTAAAGAAATGAGCAATTGCTCGATATTCTTGATAATTAATAAATTTAGATATTCATATAAAATGATTATCAAATATAGGAAAAGTTATCATTTATTCGAAAATTCCCAATCTAATGACTGTTAATTGTTAATAGTAATGTGATAATTTATGCATGTTAACGTTATCATTAAATAGCAAAAGTGTCAAACCCAACATTTATCATGTTGGTAGTAGCTGAAATTACCAATGTGATAAATGATTTTAATCATGATAGCAATAATTTGCTGATATGAAGTGCCAGTAACTGTCTAAATAATATTTATTGATTTTATGATAAAAACCAAAAGTCTGACAAGTGATATTATCAGAATAATAACAATTTCAACGTCTATAATAGCAATAACAATTAATTCAAATAATAATTGGTACTATGATCATTGATCTTAATGATAATGTAATTTGAATATTCACATCACAGTGGTATAGCAAATTGATTAAGACAAGGAATTGTGAAACAAAAAAATGCTCCTTCTTTTCATCAGGCTAATTTTTTTGTATTTTTGTTGAGTAAATTTCGAAAATTAAAAATTTTTCAATTCATAAAATTACTTCAAAACGACAAATGTTTTTTTTGCATTACAGCCTAGCACATGGCTATATGAAACATTGCTAAAATCTGTTGTAGCCAAGAAATGTAGTCAAGATGAGGCCATCAAAAATGAGCCAATTGTTTTCTTTTTAAAATATAAATTTGAGATATTTATCGCATATAGAGCCTGATAAAATGATAATTATCGTAGCATAATCAACAAAAATCATTGATGGTGAAATATTTTCTCCTCGAAATTTGAATATAGAAGTTATACTAAATTTAAAAATCAAATATTACTGGAAGGAGAGTAAGTAATAATTATAATAGGGAAATAAGTAGAGACAATATTAGGCTAAGTAATGCATTCTGCAAGCAAACTATGGGTGGGCAAACATTGCGTTTCACAATTCAACTGTGGATAGGCCAAGTAGTGTATTCTGCAAGTCATGAACAAATTGATATTTGAGAAAATCAGTGGACTGGAAAAGATCATTAGAAAAACATCAAAAAGTACCGACTTTAATTGGAACAATGATTGTGCTTAACTTGAAAAGATAATTTGTAGAACCAAGAAAGGGAGTTACAATATTAGGTAATATCTGTTGAAAAGTAAGATGAGAATGTCTATTCTAGAACTAAAAATTATAAAAAAAGTCAGAAAATTCTTATCCCAAAACAAAAATTATAAAAAAAAGCCAGAAACCATAATTTTGATAAAGTATGAGTCTTTTAAAAGTATAAAAGTAGAAATGTAAAAGTAAAGGTGTAAAAGTGAAGATATAAAAGTAAAAGTATAAAAGTAAGGACATAAAAGTAAAAGTATAAAAGTAGAAGTGTAAAAGTAAAGGTGTAAAAGTAAGGTTGTAAAAATAAAAGTATATAAGTAAGGACATAAAAGTTAAAGCGTAAAAGTAAAGGTATAAAAGTAAAAGTGAAAGTATAAAAGCATGAATCCATTTTATTTTTGATCATTATCAAAATATAACGTTTTTTATTTCTGCATGTTTCGAGATAATTTTATTTCCATTTTTAATAATAATTACATTAGGTTAATTAAATTTAAATACCGTAACGAACAGTACTCTAATTGATAATTCCTGCTTTAGTTTTGGTATTTTACAGTATTCCTTTTTTTCCAAAAAGGTTTCGTAATTAATAGAATCCATGGAAAATTTTTTTAATTATCGCTCACTGAACTATTAACTTTTCGGATATTTGAAAGTTACACGAAACATCAGAAATCATTAATTCAAAAGTATCTCAATATAAAGTGACCACTTCTTCTGTTAATAACAATGGTCAACGAATGTTGTTTTATTTAAATCTTTTAAAATTTAGAAACGGAATATTGAATTGTTTCAGCAAAATGAAAACAAAAATATTTGCATATCATTGTTATTTGAAGAATATCCAAAAGAAAAAAGAAATATTTCAATTGTTGGAAAAACAAATTTTTGAA